CTATTGGTCCACAGTTCATGCGTTTCCACTACTTTGGCTAGTTGTCTCTGTATTTTTTCCAGTTGTGGTCTTGATATCCCTTCCTCATAGAATCCCTCCTCTCTCTCATCGATTGGACTCCTGGAGCTTGGTCTAGGACCTGGCCATGGATCTCTGCATCTGCCTCCATCAGTTATTGGATGAGGGTTCTATGATGACAGTTAGGGTATTCAGCCATCCGATCACCAGAGTAGGTCAGCTCAGGCACCCTCTTGACCATTGCCAGTAGTCTATGGTGGAGTCATCATTGTGGATTCCTGGGAACCTCTCTAGCACTCTGCTTCTCCCTATTCCCATGGTGTGTTCATTTATCATGATATCTCTTTCCTTGCTCTCCCACTCTGTTCCCATTCCAGCTCGAACCTCCCGCTCCCCTAAGCTCTCATCCCCCATCCCTTGCCCTCCATTACCCCCCTCACCCCCAGTTTGCTCGTGTAGATCTCATCCATTTTATTCTGTTTAGTTTCTGTCTTGATGATCTGTCTATTGGTGAGAGTGGGATATTAAAGTCACCATCAGTCACTGGTGGTGGTGGGGGTCCAATATGTGGTTTTAACTTGTAGTGTTTGTTTGTTTGTTTGTTTGTTTTTAAACTTGAGTACCCTTATATTTGGTACATAAATGTTTAGAATTGTGAAATACTCCTTGTGGATTTTTCCTTTGATGAGTATTTTTTAGTGTCCTTACCTATCTCTGCTGATTAGTCGTGGTTAGAAGTCTTTTTGTCAGTTATGAAAGAGGCTACACCTGCTTGCTCCTTGGATCCATTTACCCTGAACTGATACCTATCTTTGATGGTGAGGTTTGTTTCTTGGATGTATAAGGTGGATCCTATTTGCCAATCCATCTTTTAGTTTGTATGTTTTTATTGGGAAATTGAGGTAATTGATATTGAGAATTATTAAAAAGGAGTATTTATTGATGCCTGTTACTTTGTTGTTAAGGTTTTTAATCTCCCCTTTCTATTAACAGGTCTGTGATTATTTATTACTTGTGTCTTTTTGGGTACAGTTAACCTCTCCAGACAGAAATTTTCCTTCTGGAGCCTCTGTAGGGCTGATTTAGTAGACAGAAATTACTTAAATTTACTTTTTTGTGGAATATTTTTGTTTCTCAAGTGATTATTATTGATAGTTTTGCTGCGTCCTGCATTCTGACTAGCATCTGTGGTTTCTCAGAGTTTGTAGAATATGAGTCCAGGCCTTTCTGGCCTTCAGAGTCTCCCTTGAGAAGTTAGATGTTATTCTAATGTTTCCACATTTCTATGTGACTTGGTCTTTTTTCCCTTGCAGCTTGTAATATCTTTACTTTGTACTGAATATTTGATGTTTTCATTATTATATGTCATGGGAATTTCTTTTCTGGTCCTGTCCTATTTGGTGTTCTTTGTGCTTCATGTAACTTGATAGGCACCTTGATCTTCTTTAGATTGAGGAAATTTTCATGTATGATTTTGTTTAAAATGTTTTCTGTTCCTTTGACCTGTGTTTCTTTTTCCTCTACCCACTCATATCCTATTTATAGGTTTTGTCCTTTCATATATTCCCGGATTTCTTGGATGCTTAGTGCCCAGATTTTTTTAGATTTTACAATTTTTTTGACTGTTTTTAGTTTGTGATCCATTTTGAAAATATTTTAAATGATTGTAAACTTAATCTAGACATTCATGTTCACATCATCTTATTTGCTCACACTGTTGTTCTCTGCAATGTATTTATTTTCTTAACTCTGAGTATTTGCTTAATAATTGTTTCCAAAACTTTTTTTTTTTTTTTGAGGTCTGGAGGAAGACTGTAAAGGATTAAAAGTAATGAGTGAAATACCAACCTATTCCCTGGACTTCAACCTTGCTGGCTCAGTAGTTGTTTCCGTCAGCAAACCTCATAATGGAGTGTCCATATGTACAGCACTCTCCATGACTCCAGAGCTTAAACTAACTGAGACATCAAGGGAATGAAGAAAGGACAGACTTACAGATATAGGGACAGAAAAATAGTGAGATCAGCATGGGCAGGCTCTCAGATGAAGAAGCTTTAGCAACCTGGAAACTCTTGTTTCTTTATTATATATAGGTGAACAGAGAGGTGGGCTTATTACATACAGCTAAAAACTGAGGCATAGTTATTGCATGCATAAAACAAGGAGGGATTATTACATATAACTGAACAAGGAAGTTAGTTGGTTTCTCTAATCTCAATAGACAGAGCTCCATAGGGCACAGTCCTCAGGCCATAAACATTTGGAGGAGAAAGTGATAGTGGACTTTTTATGCACAAACTGTCACTATTCACACTCAGACCACAGGAAAGTTTGTCATCCCTCTGAACCTGACCCAAGGAAGGCTTTGCCACTCCTCCAAGTTGAAGCATTGGAATACTTGGCATGGCCATGCCCATATCAAGAACACACATTCACCTGGGTCATCATTCACTCCTTGTGTATATGAATGTTCTCTGTTACTGTATTTGGGAAAACTTTGTACTTTCATTCTGAAAAAAAAAAACTGATGATAGTTACAAATAATCATAACCCCAAATTACTAGTTTCCCTGAAGTAATGGATATTATAGTGAAAGTATAGCATCATATATGGACAAGATAGTTCCTGCCTGTTATCCCAGCACTGGGAAGACTAAGACAAGAGCATTGTTATTTCAATGCCAGCCTGCCTTTGCTAGTGAGGGGACAGTTGTATCAGGACCAAACTGACTATTACAACCGAAGAGATGCTTTGTACATATCAGGTGAATGTTTTTAGAAAATACTAGTAAGGAAAGAAAAAAATATTGCTTATTTTTATGGACATAATTCTTTTGTTTTAGTGCTTTGTGAAGCATGAGGGTTTTCAATGTGAAGAAAACTTGGGTTCCTCTATATTTTAGATATATTGCCAACTGAAGCCAGATTAACTAGACATGTCTCAAGAGGGCTGAAGAAAAAGTTGTCAGTGGGCAAGATTTATAGTCAGTCACATTTGAATTTTTCAGAGGGTCATAGGCATACCTACTAAGGAACTCTTCTACTCTTTGCCACAGGAAAATTTAGTAGTTCAAGGTCTCCTGGAAGAATTTGGAATAAGCATTCTAATGGTCTTAATTGGTATTAAACAGTGGTTTGCATATACTCAGGCTAAAATTATTCTCTTGCATAAAACAGTTGTGAACATATATCATCCATGGATTAAGAGTCTTGTTTAAAACACTGAGGGCCTTTATAAAGCAAGCCTAAACTGTAAATAATTTTGAAATCTTCAAATGTTTAATTACTATTATAATGAAAGACCGGGGCTTTATTTTATTTTGTAATTTCTTGCTATGACAATGGCTTGATTAAGTCACTGAAAATGTAAACTAAAATGTTTTTAAAGGTACTAACTGGCCACAAATGAGGAGAATCTTGAAAGTTGGATAGATACACTGATATAGCTGTGTGAAGCTAGAAAGCATGGGTTTTTTTTCTACAAATTCCTATATTTTTATAATTAGATGTGCAGGAATATTTTAAGAACGCGTACTTTATCACAAGAGATATGCCAAACCTACAAATTTTTATTTCAAGTATAAGCCGTATTTAATGGATTTTTAGGCATATAGAACACTGCATTTGCAATCAGACTATGGTTTTTAAGATAAACTGTTAGTATCATAAAAAATTAAATCTGAATATCTAACCAACAGCCATGTCTTAATATGTTTTAAAGTGTCTCAAGTACTTTAATGTACAAATACAAACAAACAAGGATCTACAGTAATGACTAACAGCAACAGTGGTATTGTATTCAGAATGATTTGTGAGTAGCTTAAGACTTTGTAGTTTCTAAAACATGTTAAAGGAATGGCCCTGTAGCATTGAAATCCTCTCCAAAATTGCACTGTCGGATGATAAGAATAAAGTTTTGCAGTTAAAGGACATATTCTCTGCCTAAATTCATTTGGCAATTAGAGTCATTTTCTTTTTTAAAGCAACTTTTCTGCCAAGCTTTCTTAAGATGGTGTAAAATACTGATCTGGGTGTTTAAGTGATAAGAATAGAGTTTTAGTTTTTTTCACAAGCCAGAAGTTTTGAATTTAGCATTTTTTTCTCTTGCTCTTACAACAGTTCAGATATAATCCAGATTGTGCTTTATAGGAATTATGAACAAGGAACAAATTTCTAAAATATGAAAAATCATAGAGGACACTGGAATCTATATGCTTTATGACATTTATTAATTTTAAATCGTATTTATTAAAATTTTCATAGAACTGAGTAAAGCTGGAAGAGGGAGAAGCAGTCCCAGTTAATCTGTCCAGTGCCAAACAGCCGTGAAAAGTTACATACCAGTAATATTATGTGAGATCAACAGGTTATATTTAGGAATATATATATGCATGCATATGTGCACGCAATAACAGTGAAAAAAGAGGCCATGAATTTGAAGGCAAGCTGAGAGAGGTATATAGGAGAGTTTGGAGGGAGGAAAGGGAAGGCAGAAATGTTAAAAATTAAATTACAGTCACAAACAAAAAATTTATGCATAGAAATTGCTCTTCCTATGACATGCATCAAAATCCCTGTTGAGGACCCAGGGTGTCGCTCAACAGGTAGAAGCTCTTGCACCAAGCCTAACCCCTTGAGTTCCATCCCTAGAGTCCACATGGTGGTAGCAAAGCTCTTGCAAGCTGTCCTCTGACCTCATAGGACATGGATGTAAATAAATGTGTACAAGGGGAGAGAGAGAAACCTGAAATCTGTTTGACAGAACTGTCTGACTTTTCTAAAGAGAAATCTCAGTGTAATTTTTGGGTTTGTTTATTTGCTTAAAATATGTTCCATAATGTGACCCTTACCTTAGAATATTCTCCTTACCTTAGATTATTAAATAAATTTGTTTTCTCTAATAAGAAGAGTCATAATTTGAAGATTTTTCTATTTAAAGAAATGAAATTCATCTGTATACTTGTTTCTATGTTTTTCTTTTAGGAGAGCATTGGAGATGTCCACTTCTGCCTCTGTAAGATAGATGTTGAAGGCTGTGTGATTTAGACAGTATCTAAAGAAATTAGACACTCCAGGTAAGTATAAACCGTAGCCTCATAAATAGTATGGTTACTCAGTTAAAATTTTCCTACCAATTGTCTTTTTTTCTCCAGCATATTTTTTCATCCAGATTTCTCTGTGTATAACTACTTGCATGTTTATGTGACCTCACCTCCCAGCTGTATTTAAAATTTTTCAAATGGGATATGAGGTGTACAAGCCAGAAGAGACATATTAAATTTTACTTGCCATATTGGGATATTGGGAATATATGACTTAAAAATGGGACACTGCTCTTCCTCAAGAAGTCTTGTGAAGTGAAATGAGGGCTGTAAAATCAAACCTTAATGATTTTTGAACAAAACCAGAAATATAGACTTACAGAAATTATTTTTCAATAGCACCATAAAGTTTAGCCTTTGAAGAAAGTCTGTCTTTCTGTTTGAACGAGGTCAAACCGTTTGTGCAGCCTTTGAGGCACAAGATTTTGTTGCTACCTCCCTCTTCCCATATTACTCTCTTTTCCAGAGTCCTTCAGCGTACAAGTCCTTAAAATCAGTGTAGTGAGCAAGTTAGTGATTTAACTACGATGTGTGTATGTGTTGTCAGTAATGATGTTTTTTTGAAAAAATGAGCAATATTGTTTATTTCTAATTAATTTCCATGATATATATGGTGTCATTGGCTTTTTCGCATGACTACATGATTTTTTTCTGAATTATAGTGTGTCTTATTTTTCTGTTGCTGTGATAAAACACCAGGATCAAGACAACTTTTAAAAAGAGGCATGTAATTGGGCTTTTGTGGTTTCATAGGGTTAAGGTTGTAATGACAGAGCAAAGGCATTGCAGTAAGAACAGCTGAGAACTCACCTCTTAAAACTGCTAGGAGGAGGCAGAGCACTGGGAATGGCAGGAGCCCACCTCCAGGGACACCTCCTGCACCAGGGCCACACTCTAGGCCTTTGCCTTCCACAAGCTGGAAGCTCAGCTGGGTTGAGTTTTGTGCTGAGGGCACCCTTCCCTCAGTTACATTTCAGATCAGCCCTCTCCTTTATGTACTCATATCTTTCAGCACACGGTTCCAACATTCAATTTTCTGGTGCCTTTTCCCCCTTCAAACTATACTATTGTATTCTTTTTGCCCCACTTGTTCTTTTTTATTGTAGACCAACATTTGAGTGATTACTAATAACCACACAACAGAGACAGTGTTTTGAAATCTCCTCTGCCAAAGAAGTGAGTTCATTATTTTTCACCTCCTCCTGCAAGGCTACAATTCGTCCTTCCTAACAGTTTTACCAACTGGGGACCAAGTATTCAAACATATGAGCCTATGAGGGCCACCATATAATGATTAGTAATTATCGCTATACTCCTTTATATTTGGTCTGTGTCTTACTGTGTACAATGCTTTTCACTCTGCCAGTTTTTTTTTTTTTTTTCCTTTCTGTGTGGAAGCATTTGAGCTTCATTCAACCACATTTCCTTATTCCTGCAGTTGGATCATGAGCTATTTCCAGGAATCCCTTGTCCATGTCTTTAGCTTCAAATACTCTCCCTGTTTTCCTTTAGCACTTTGAGAGGTTTTGTCTGTTATATGAGACCTTTGGTTTGTCTGTAATCATTTTTGTATCAGAAGTTAGAAGTCTAGTTTCTTCTTCCTCCTTGTGGAGATAAAATTTTCCCAGCACCAATGGAGGAGCTTTTTCTTGAATGTACCTACCGCAGTTCTCGTGGACTTGACATGAAACTCTGCCTGCTTTGCTTCTTGGTGTCTCTGTTCCTCCACTCTACAACTTTCTGTAAAATGGAATACCAGATTGTGTTTCTGGGGTTATTACAAAGAGTAAATGAAAAATTTAGGTGTCTCTAACTTTGTAAGTTTATCTCTGAGTCCTTTATTCTAGTCCACTGGTCTATGTGTATGTTTTGTGCCAGTACTGTGCTCTTTTTCTTAACTGGTAGTATAAATGGAAATCAAGTTTTGCACTTTTTGTCTAGGATTGCTTCAGCTGTTTGCGCTCTTTTTTGCTTCCATATGAACTTTAGGATTGTTTCTTCTGTTCTTTTTAAAATGTGATTCAAATTTGATGGAGGTTCCATTAAGGATACCTACTGGTTATCCTGGGGTCAAGCGAAGTTGGCACCCAACCTCTGTCACTCTGAAGGAGTTCAGATGAAAGGTAGAAAGACCTCAGGACACCTGATCTCAGTTGATTTAGCATATCAACAAAATATAATCAAGACTATGGCTCAATACAGGTTCCCATCTAACTAGTTAAATTAGCAGTTATAACTCACCAGTTCAATTCTCTGATTGAAAAGAGCAGAAAAATTCTTACTCAAGCTTAGTTAGGGCTCATCTGTGTTCCAAGCATTCGCTTCACTCTGAGGACACTTGTAGAGAAGTCAGAGCCTTTGCAGATGTGGGAAGAATCAAAAGGAGAATTCCATTAGTTCATCTCCTGTTTCACTTTCCCACTGCTTTGAAAGGCCGCCTCCTACTCTAATGCTTCTGCATTTTAAAAATTATGTAAAGATTTCCTACATTGCTTGTGTGTGTTGTATTTTGCCACCTGTCTTTACCACTGCACCTACCGCAGTTCTCGTGGACTTGACATGAAACTCTGCCTGCTTTGCTTCTTGGTGTCTCTGTTCCTCCACTCTACAACTTTCTGTAAAATGGAATACCAGATTGTGTTTCTGGGATTATTACAAAGAGTAAATGAAATAATTCATATAAAGCATTTGTCTTAACTAATAATGATAATTTATGGCATATTTCAAATGCTCTGAGTAAGTAGGTTTTCTCCCATAAATAAACATACTGTTTTATGTGTTTTTGTAGTAAGTTCTTTGTAGCAGAAATCTTAAAAGTTCTTACTAATAAAATCAAACCTGAGGCCAGTTATTGGGGTGAATGCTTGGAAAATCAGAGAAGCAGAACAAGCCACAGCTACCTCACCTTGCCAGTTCCTCAGCTGATCCTGTTTCCTCAGACTGGAAGCCTCTAAGTCCTTATCCAAAATGAATCTCAGCTGAACTGTTGCTCGAAAGCCTGAATGCTTAACCAGCCAAAAACTTCTAGTTTCTGGTCTTCACGCCTTATATATCTTTCCTTTCTACCATCACTCCCTGGGATTAAAGGCTCGCTTTCTGGGATTAAAGGTGTGAGTCACCATGCTTGGCTGTATCCTTGAACAGATGGATTTCTGCCTCTGGAATGCTAGGATTAAAGGCATGTGCTACCACTGCCTATCCTGTATGTTTAGTATTGTGGCTGTTCTGCTCTCTAACCCCAGGTAAGTTTATTAGGATGCACAATATTTTGGGGAACACAATACCACCACAGTTCTTCATTCATGTTTCATATGAGAACTTGGTTTTAGTTTTCTCAGGCATTTTCTTTTCTAGCTTTTTATTACATACCATAAAATTTTATAAATTTTTGTGTGATAATTTCTTCTGTTTAATAGCAAAAATCACCTTGCAATTACTTGGATTAAAATATCCTTCTATAATAATTATTTTAAGACAGTGCCAAGGTATGACCTGTATTAAGCTCAGGAGTTCCAAAGCATGATCCCTTTTCAGGAAAACTAGTGTGAGATAAGGACTGCCAGCATTTTCCAAACAGAGTTAACTCTTGATTGCTCTTAAGCCTTTTGGCCACACTCATGTGTAAAATCAATATATGGATATGTTTATTTGACTTAGGTGTGTATGTGTATGCATTGTTTTCAGGCATTTATGTATGTATATATACATACATATAGATAGACAAAAACTTGTATTTTTAAAAATTGGATCAAGCTGTCATCTGACAGGTTGCAAATTCTTGTTCAGTAACTGATGTTACCATCTTGAAGCAGAACCTCTGCTTAAAGAAATCTCAGCTTTAGCTTTTTGTTATTCTAAATTGCTCGAGTGGAGTGTGTGTGTGTGTGTGTGAACATACGCCCACTTGTCCATATATGTATGTGTCTGGCATCTGTGTATGAATGTAGAGAATAGCAGACAGCCTGCAGCAGTTGATTCCTTCCATCCACTGTAACTGTCCTTGGGAGCAAAGTCAGTCAGGCTTCGCAGCAAGTCTTTACCAGCGGAGCCTTCTTCCCAGCCTTGGCTTTGTTTCTAGATATGTTCATCCAGAATGTATAAGATTATCTCTTTCAATTATAGTCAGTTGATTATAGAAGTTAGTGTCATCTATAAAAATATTCACAGAAGAAAGGGGCTGCCCTACCCTTTCTCAAACTGTGCTTAGATGACCATTATCTGAATCAATTTATAGGAAGGAGAACAGACATTTGATGAAGTCTATTTAAAGTGATCCCCCAATTAAGAAATAACACAACAAGAAAAATTAAGAGTAAAAGAAAAACTAAACCCATGCCACATCTATACCTAGATTACATTTAAATTGGTAACTGAGAAACCTGTGTCCGTGCCAAGTTGAGCCTGGAATATGACCCTTACAAATGCATAAGGTTGATCTAGTATTAACACAATTCAGTGTTATTTTACACCTCTCAAAATAATACAGTAGCTGAACTAATGTGTTAAATGGGAAAAGGGCTCTTGTCAATACAGATTCCATGAAATTGTTCATTGTATACGTATTTCCTGTGAGTGCCTTTTCTCCATAAACTACAATGTGTGGTATAAGAGGAAACTGATTTAATTGTGAAACAAACTAAAATCATGCCATCTAAGTGGATGTTAATCTTCCAGAATGGTCACCTTATGAGGCTCTAAGATTCTCTTTTGATGCTAAAATTCATCAATATTTTTAATATTCTTTCTAAAAAAAAAGAATCTGAGCATGAATTATATTTTGTCTATATTGCTATTTCCCTCGTCTCTTAATATATTTTCTCTGATGTTTTCTGTTTGAGCAATTCTGTTCTGACCATTCTGCGTCATTTTTTTTTATTTTGTTTTTGAACTAGGATCTTACTTTTTTCCCCAGGATGCTCAAACTCCTGTGCTTTTACTTCTTCAGCCTCACAGTAACTGAAAATTAAAGGTTT